CTCCAGAAAAATCCCTTGTAAGTTTTTTTAACAATATATGCTAATTAAAATTACAAAATAATATCTTTTATCCAACTCAGCTTCTATTTATTTTCAACAAAAAAAGGAAGGAAAAAAAAGCCAGAATACATTTCCATCCACTTCCATACTCAGCCATTAAAGGGTGGAGTTGGATTTATCACATTTGTGAACATTGGAGAACTTAATTGGACGTGTTTTAAGTTGAGTAACTAAATCGGATATTACATTAAAGTTAGGGGACCAATTGTGATTTAACACTTTTATATTGCACAATAATGAGAATCGTAGCCGTCGGCTTTGACCCCCCCGCCACCCTCTCCCTGTCGGCTCATGACTTTTTTGACGGTATACTTTGGATACAAATTTATAAAGAACCAATCGTCAGCGGTGCCGTTGTTCTCGAAGACGCGGCAGGATTGGAAGAATTTGCCAACCAGAGCTTGTAAGCTGTTTTTATCTGCGTGAGATTTCTTGATGAACTTCTCTCTTCGTTTTTTTTTAATATTTACGCATGTATGTATTGTAAAATAGCAACGATTACCTCTGCTAATGTTCACCGTCATCGAGGAGGTGTCCGTGTCCGTGTATATATGAGCGTTTGTTATAAACAGTTGCTGGTTTCAAGTTCTGTACTAACTTTGTACACAGTAATTTTCATTCAAGTGAGAATAATTGGCCATGATGATTGTAATTCTGATTTTAATGGGAAGAAATACGAAGGGCGGTTGTAAATTATGCAATAAATTTAGCTAATCACACCTCTTTCTCCGTCTCTTACTGCAAAACTTCTGAAATTGACCACAGGGGACCGAGTTGGACAAGTTGGGCAGGGTGAGTTGGAATAAAGGTGGGACGAGTCACTGACATTCAGGTTTTCAATTCTCTTAAAATGGTTTGTCTTTCTGCAATCTATTTCTTTTCTTCGCTCGGTACCTAGTATATGCACCTTTCTTAATTTTTGTAGCTTTCATTTATTTATATACTTTGTCCGTTCTTTTTGAAGAAAAAGGCAAAAAAAAAAAAAAAACTGGTTTCTTCTCCTGCATCTTGTTTTGTTGCGTTGTTACAATTTCTTGCTCGTGAGCTACTGTTTTCGTTTATGTATTCATCATCACCTTAATGAATGATGCAGTATCACTGTTGGTATCCTGGAAGCAGCTGGTAACTTTATTCAACTGGAAAAACTACCCATTGGCATCAGGGAGAATTCTGCATTTTGTCTAAGCTCCAGAGCTTGAATATGAATTGAACAAATTTGTCATACCACAATGGGAGGACGTCATTCAAGGAGTTCCACTTCTCATAATAAGCACTTGCATGCCGGTGGTCGTGTTAATCTTTATGCTGCTGGTCGTCAAGTACACAAACCAAGTGACTTCAAATTGGACTGTCCAAATGAGGTCAAAGAAAATATGCAAAGTGATTCTCTTTCTGAAGTAGGATGGGAAAGCCCAAAGAAGCAATCACAGCAGCTTATGCAATCAAGAGGACCCACTTCATTTCATGATATGGGCACAACTGGTTATGAAAGCAATGAGGATGATTTTTATGATGGGATTCCACGCTTTCCAAGGGCTCTTTCACTCAAGTCCAGATCAATAAGGTCCAAGCAGGCTGTTGCCAAGGTTGGTGCCTTTTGCAATTTGGACTAGTCCTAGTTAAATTCTTTTTGTCTAATGATTCTCCTTTAGCTTGGCTTTCCTCAAACGAGAAACATGCTATGTTTGCGTAATTGGCATGCTTGCTGGCTGACTGGCTGGTTGTCCTCATTCTCCATGCTTTCTCTACTTGTTTATAAATGCATTGCTACTAGTAGATAATACTGAACTATGCTGTGTGATTGGGTTCACCTCTATATAATGCTATGTGACTCCACAGTCTGAACTGAAGAGGTCATGGTGCAATTTGGTGCCTTCCCCAAATGCTTGCTCTGCATTGTCTAATTTTTGCAGAAATACTTCTTCAGGCTCAGGGACAAAGCCAGAAATTAAAATTTCTTGTAGTAGGGGCCTTGTAGTGCGCGCACACACATATGTATGCTGTAAGAATGAAATGACCATTGTGCTGTCCTATGATATTTAAAAAAAAGGTAATGACAAAATATAAAGAAAATCTTTTACAGTTTCCAGTAAGCCTGGTCTCTGTTCGAGCTAGATCTGAGCACAGATAACTTGATCTTTATTTGGTCTTTGCTGAGGCTAAATCTAAAGTAAGAAAAATGGACATGGAAACAGATATAGATATGCATATCTGACATGTGAAAATGTTATTGTTCAAAATGCTCAAGACAACAGGGTATGGCATGGCTGAGACATGCTTATATTAAACTATACATCTAGGAAAATTCCAAAATAGTAGAAAAATAAACAAATGATACATAAAAACAATTTATAGGCTGCTTAAAAATATAAGAAAATTATTTGTTATTATTTGCAAAAGGACCCCTCATTGAGTAAAACAAAATCTTTCATGTCGTGGCCCTTTTTATGTTAGAAGTCTACAATTTTTTGAGATGTGTCCTTGGCATCTTACGTGGAAAAAATACTTGAATGAAAAATGGGTCACAGTTGGATGCATGTCCAACACATGTCTTGATGTGTCCTACGACAACATGAATAGAACTTCAAAATTTGTGCCATCTAGAAGTGCTAGTGCTTCTAAGTTCTGAAGAATCAATCTCTGAACGAGGTGTGGGCAACATTTTTATTATAGCCCCAGTTTTGTCTATAGTTCTCTCACACAATCATGATGAGAAGTATTTTATTATCTATAATTACTGCCATTTTTTTTCTGTCAAAAATAATATACACCATAACCTCAGTCATGCCAAGCTGCAAGTCCAATTGAAGTCATACCCAAAATGCCTCATGAAGTGATTGTGACTTGTAAGGCTTATGAGACTGGGAACGTTATCAGATTAGGACGCATGCGCACCAAAATGCTGAGTTGTCAGGTAACCAGCTGTAAACTGAAGGTTCATACACTAAATTCCCTATCTAGCAAATATAGATGCTTAAATGATGTAAAAAATGGCCTTTTGTCATAATAGCATCAATTTCTCAAAGATAACAATGTTAATGGACATGTTTGATAGAAGAAAAAATTTTACTTAGTGAAATTTTAACTTATTTAAGTGGAAGTTTGCTGTTATGTGTAACTATTTAGTTGGCATCACATGAACTGAACTTTTATGAGTAGTTGAGATATCAGGATAGTTTCTATTGGCAAACATCTACTCCACAGATACCAATGTTGAAGTTTGAGAGATTGAACAAATTGCATTTCTTGGCACAATTTGTGTTATATCTCTTGTGTATTGTAAATCTTTTCACTGAAACTAGGCTGGGATATCATAGCATGGGCAGATTGTGGACCCAAATTTTATTCGCCAAAGGTCTGTAATCAGTGGAGAAATGAGAATTTCTGTGAAGGAGGTCATTAAATAACTGATTTGTGGTAGAGTTGTATTAATTCATTTGTAGGTGTAAAATAAAGTTAATAGAGGCAAATGTTATAGAAAGACAAAACAATAGAATAAAGTCTGGAATAAATTATGCAACTTAATATTGTAATAAAAATTTGAATTTAATAATAGAATTGAAAAAGAAAATTAGCATATCTTTCTTCAAGCAATTAAAAGTGGGAAACATCAGCCAAGCAAAATTCAGCTAAAGAAATGAGTGTTTATACTTTCTTTTTTAACGGGTGAGGTCAAGGTTTTAGCTCATTTCTCCTTTCCAATGATAAATTTATTGCAAGGTCAAATTTAACTTTTGATAGGATATAAATATAATTCTCAGTAGCAGCATATTGTCCTAGAAATCTCTTGTCCACCAGAGTAATTGCTTTGCAAATGCATACATCATTAATCTACAAATAAACTAAGTGAAAATACTTTAATTTAAATATGCCGCACTATTCTTCTAATGGCAAGTTCAATTAGTAATAATTGTTAAAATATTAATTGTTCTCTAACTAAAAAGTTTAGTAGGCTTCACTTTTTTCTTGTGTTAATTTTCTTTTAAATGCAAACTGAACCCCATTAAGCTGACTCTACTCAGGCTTTTTGCAACTATGCATGGCCCACTACATGCATCATGCCACCAATCTACTCGATTCAAACTTGCAATTTTTATTAGTTAACAATTAATTGTCTTAATTTATATACTCCACCCAAGTTAATTGTGGTTTCCCTTCCTCAATTTTACCCTCAATGTGTCCATCACTTGTCCTGACTGGGGCATTTATGAGTTATCTATACATGCTTTCTATTTTTTGTCTTATTTTATCCTTAACAGGCTCAGTCTTTCTATTTTTTTTTTTTTTTGTCTTATTTTATCCTTAACAGGCTCAACCTTTCTATTATTTTGTCTTATTTTATCCTTAACACAAACTTTACCATTTTATGGATTTGTTCATTTTAGTTCTATCCCTCATAGTTATACCACATATTCACATCCGCCTCCATCTTCACATCCACATTTTAGATATGCTCATTTATTAACATGTTATCTCTTAACTGCCAATATGGTGACACCATTCACTAGAGCTGGTATATAGCTGTATTGTAAAACTTGATTTACCAATATAGGTTTATCACACTATATCACGTACTCATTCATCTAATTAGTCCACCTTGTTTTTATTTTATGAACAACATCTGAAGCAACATCTCCAATACATATGCATGATTGATCCTAGTTATAGGAATTGCTTATTCTTAGATCTTGGCCTTCAATTCTTAACCTTTTTCTTTTGTGTCTTCATTTACACTTTAGTTGCATTCTATTTATCTTAAATCTTCTTCATCCTAAAGTCTCTGTCCAAAGTTCTAATTTAGGATTTTGTCCTACATTGGTTTCATCAATTACAATAATGCCAAGAGTTGGTGCAGTTCAGGTGCACTATCTACATCCAACCTTACCCAATTTATTTGGCAAGTCAGATATCTGTCCTTTCTTGCCCAACCTTGTAAAACTATGGGGTTTGTTTAGTGGGGTTGACAGAAAATGGTTGGGATAGGAGTGCACTGAGTGAGTTTAATTTTAGGCCCAAACTGCCATCCATAAATAACACGCACCAAGGTATTTCATCTTGTCCTTCATGTAAACATTTAGTAATTGAAAAGAAAATTACTAATTTTTCTTACAACAATTTGTTAGAAATTCATGTCTTCATAGTAATTGGCTTTTATAATCATAGGTCACCTACCTATGACTCCCCTTTCTATACTTTTCCCCCCCTTAAAGTCTCAACATATATGTCTCTCTGGGAACTCTTTCCCATGCCTTCTCAAAATCTCTAAATCTATTTGAAAATCTTTCCTCTTTCCTCTATACCTTTTCACTAACCTCCCATAGATTGCTCCATTGATTGACCTATCAGGGATAAATCACAACTGCTTGTATGATACTTTCGGTTCAAATATTAATTTGTTTCCAATCACTTCTTCCCATAACTTGTAAGTTTAACGTCTTTATAATAAGTGCAATATTGGATCTTTCTTTTATTTTTATAAAAGGTATATATATTTTTCCATCAGTAATGTATTTTTTTTTTTAATTACTAAAACTCTACTTAGAAATCATGCTAACCAATTTCTACCTATAGCTCCTTAGAACTTCCATATTTAATAGGGATGCAACACGGTCCAAAATATTTTCCTTTCTTCATCTTTGTCAAAGCATATTTCACCTAAGATGCTTTAATGTTATGAAAAAATCTACTTTATCCACTATCCCTTCTTTAATCACTTCTCTAACATTATGCTTTCTTCATTATGTATTATCTAAAAACTCCTCAAAATATGTTTTTTCTTTCTTTAATTTCTTATTTTTATACTAGTACTTGCAAATCTGTATTATTGATACATTGAATATGATTAAAGCCCCCAGTTTTCTTCTCTCTTAATTTAGTAGTATACATACTCTTTTCTCCAGCTTTTGTTTCTAACTTGTTATAGAGATCATTGTGTGCTTTAAGTTAGCTTCCATAATTAGTCTGTGCATTCTTTACTCGTACATTTTATATCTTTCATAGGTTTCTTCTTTCTTTTATAACAAGCTTATTTAGATTTAACATCATTTTGGACATCTTGGTTCCACCACTAATTATCATAGTCCATTCCCTGGACTCTCTAAGCTTCTAATGCATTTATTTTCTTCTATTCAAGTGCCTTTTTAAAATCATTAGTGTATGTTGCGTGGTTCAATATGACTCATCCTCGCCTAGTTAAGAAAACAATCTATTTGACTCATATTCATTATGCTTCTAAAGGTTATTAAATTTTCATCTCCCTTTTAGAGTTGGTGATAGCTATTGTAAGTTCAACAATTAATCTATGTTGTGCGGTTCAATATGACTCATCCTCGCCTAGTTAAGAAGAACATCTGTTTGACTCATATTGGTTATGCTTCTAAAGTTTATTAAATTTTCATGTCCTTTTTAGAGTAGGTGATAGCTATTGTAAGTTCACTATATCAAATTCTAAGATTGCCTCCCTGGTCTCATCTCTATCTCCCAATCCATATCTACCATGTGCTATCCCATATCCTTGTTGATCTTTATCTACATGTCCATTAAAATATCCTCATATTATTATTTTCCCCTTTTGAGGTTTTTTTTACACATTGATTTATTTGCACTTCTCCAAATTGTTCCTTACTGTGTTCATCTAATCTAACAAGCATAAGAACTAATCATATCAATCACATTTTGTCCTAATAAAAGCCTGATTAGTAATTATATTCCCTGTTCTAGTTTTCTTAATGTCATTTTCTTTAAAATTTTCATCTACTACTATGCATACTCTGTTCTTTAGCTCTATTGCTGTTGTAAAGTTTATATCTGGTGTTTTGTGTGTTTAGATTTTTCCCCTACATGTAGTCTCTTGTAAGCATGCTATATTTACTTCTCTTTATATAGTAATATCTACTAGCTGTACTTCTTTACCGCTATGGCTCCTAGCTTTCAAGTAGTTAAACTAAGTTCAATATTGTGGACTAACTTGTTTACCCACACTCCTCCAACATATAGAGCCTCTTGCTTATTTGTCATCAAAATTTAGCACAGAAGTGGTGTCTTGCGCTGTCCTTTGCTTTGGTTTATTCTCTTGTGAGGATGCTATAATTACTTGACTATAGTTAATCTAAGTTAATATTTTGGACTGACTTCTTTACCACCATGTGCTTAACATTTGGGCGCCCTGCTGTGATGCCCAGTGACTGCTTTGTGCTACAACCTAAGTCAGATGAAACATGTAGCTACAGGGAATGCCTAATAAAGATAAAATGTTAAGCATGCATAACTGTTAAGTAAACCCACCACGTTTTGAAATTGGGTCTATTGTTCCAGCAATTCAAAACTTTGTTACCAGGGATTTCACCAGCTTACACTTGATTTCTTTAAGTGCTTTTTCCACTTCTTTATATGTATATTAACCTTCTCTACTTTATTTCACTTTTTCATCATATAATAGTTTTCCACTGCCTTTCTGGGGTTGTGAAGTGTCTACATGCACGTGCTGTTATTATTGCAGCTCACTAAAAGAGAATTCATTAGAAATTGATGTTGATGAAATGATACTAGTTTTTTCCTCGTAAGCAATAGAAATTCTTGATAAGAACATATAAAACCAACATAGAGCAATCTTGGATAGATTTAAAATCCATTCTCTGAACGGTGTATTGGTCTTTAGTGGTTAAAATTTTAGTAGAATTGTTCAACATCATTTCAAAAGATTGGCAAAATTCTGTTACATTGTGAAGAAATTCTTAAGTTATAGATAGTTTGGATGCCTTTGTTTCTTACTAGGGTGATCATCTTCTAATCCGTAAGTTTTAAGATTTATCTTTATCCATAGTGTTGGTGAATCCTCAAGGTAAACAAGTAAATTTGCACCTGGCATCCCTTGTATAAATCCATAAATTGACTGATTTGCACAATGCACCCCACAATTATAATTTTTTGCACTTTGCAACCTGGCAAGGCAAAGGGCCAAAAGGGTGCTAGGGTGCAAAGTGCAAAAAATTGTAATTGTGGGGTGCATTGTGCAAATCACCCTCCATAAATTATAAAAATGGCTTCCCCAAGTGATGAGGTTCTTTGCTTTGTGAAGGCTGGTGGAGGGTTTCTAGTATGTGCAACTTTTCTCTGCTTTATAGAGAGGGTGTTTCCATGGCTCCAACCCATGACCTTCCTGTCCTGAAGGAAAAATCTTGCTGTTGATCCAAGGCTCTCCCTCTTAGAAATATATAACTTATATATAGTATGCTTATATTACTAATTATCCAAAAATGGAGAACTTTATGACAAAAAATGATTTTGATCCATGAACGCTGCAAACAAAATTATAATTTTTCTTTATACATTCTTGTGGTTTTGGTACTACGTTGAAGTGACTTACCTCATCTTCTCACTAATATTGAGTTCTCAATCCATTCAATTTTTAGTTTGGGGTTTATGAAATGTTCCTTGATGTTTATGTGTGGGATATTTGCATCTTTGTATTAAATATAAGCAGATAATTGGTAATACCCAAACTTATACCCCTCAGTCATTGGTAGATCATGGATCCCACCAGTGCTTTGATGATATTATATTTGTAAAGTTTCTTTTAAGTTCTATATTATGCAGGTTACACTAGGGCTTGGTAAGGCTGTTGAAGTTTTGGACACTCTTGGAAGTAGCATGACCAGTTTGAACAAAAGCGGTGGCTTTGGTTTGGCGTTGACAACTAAAGGCAGTGAACTTCAAATTTTAGCGTTTGAGGTTGCCAACACAATTATGAAAGGTTCTACTCTTGTGCAGTTCCTTTCAAAATGGAATATACGGCAATTGAAGGAAGTGATCCTCCTTCAGAAGGCGTGCAACGTTTAGTGTCTGAAGACATAAATGAACTCCTAACTATTGTTGCCAAAGATAAGAGGTTGGTACAACTTAATGGAAAATATTTATGATAGTTTCTTCAAGTGAGGGGCTTCCTCTAAATGGATTTTGATCTATTTCCTAGTAACTATGAATATGGACACGACACAGACATGGATACACAGACAGTAAATCAAGACAGACACATTGTTGACATGGCCAAAAAAAAAAAAATAATTATATGTAGTTTCGTATTCATATATCTTAATCAATGATCATTATATTTAATGTGCTGATAACCTGACACCAAGCATTAAATGTAATTGATTCCAATTATGTTATAAATGGAAAACATATTATTTGAGTCAATGTATAGTTACTACTTACAAAAATAGTAAGACCATTACCAATAACAAAAGCACCATTGCTATCATTCCATGCATTTACAAAATTACCGAAATACTATATATGAACATTAAAATGTTTTAAACAGTCCACAAAGGGCATGAAAATGTTATTAACAATCTGAAAAAGCATTATACAAATTCAAGTTTAGATGGCTTAGAATGTCGTAAACAGTACTTGGAGAAAGAAATAAAAATATACATTTCTATTTATAAGTTAGTGTTAACAATTTTAGATATTTTAACTAAAGTTAACTATCTTGGCATTTGGGGAGTGAAACAAGCAATGAAGAGGAGCAGTGCTCTTATTCCAATGGGCTGCAAGAATTCATTCACAACATTATAAAATGTAGACCCTTCATCTTGCCTCTTCCCACTTGCCTATGGATTGCCAATATTCACTTTTTTCAATCACTGTATCCAACATATCATGCATGACAAGGTTTGTTGGTATCATAAATACTAAGCATATCATAAATCAGTGATGTGAAGGAAAGTTTGTAATAAATTTGGTCCGACCTAATATTTATCCTGCACAAAACTTGTATCACTGGCATCATCATCTTGATAGGGTGTCCACTTTATCACTTATGACTATTTCTTGGAGACCATGGTTTATAAGTTTAAATTGTTTAAGCATGACAATGTAAGAAGCAAACTGAGTTTCAGCAACTAAAAGAAGCTTCAAACTCACAAATTTATTGTATATTGCTAGTGAGCCAATGAATTTGAATATTTTGCATGGCAGAATTGTATAGTGAAGGCCGCCACCTTCTATATAGGAGTAATCCAAAAATTCAGTCGGGCATCAAGGAATTGAATCACTTAGTGAATCCAAACTTCACTTGGTTCCCGCAACTTGATTGTTCTCTCTCTGTTTTTCCCTTCTGCTTTCCATTCTGTTTTCTGTATGTCATTTCCCTTGTTTCCTTGAGAGACCCAGTGAGAGAAAGTGTGGGAACCGCGTGCAAGAAGGCTGAAACCAGTGAGGAACCTATGGGGTGTTCAAGAGAGAGTGTCCTGTTAAGGTTTTGTTGGTTGCTGGGCGAGCTCACGTGACTTAGCTCGAGTGTTCTTGGGACTTAATGCAGGCGGGGCGTCACACTAGTCTCATAGAATGGTTAGCAATGAAGTTTTTAATCACCGTTGCACCATTAGCAATCTTACTGATATATACAGCCAAGTTCTTCTTCACTTTCTTTGTATGAATGTTGTTTAATGCAAGATTATAAGTATGGACAATTCAAGGTGTCTAAAAGACCAGGAAATAGTACCTCATTCAATTGTATTGCACCTTTATAGTTCGGTGAATTGTTGGTGATCACTTAGACTACACTTTCTGGGACAACCTCTTGGACCACTTCATCAAACCTGCAGTGGAAATTTTTTCTTTAGTGATCCCTGAACAGTCAACTGCTCTATGAAATATAAGAGGGCTACCTGTCACTGCCATAAAGCTAAGCAAAGGTTTTCTTTGGTTGTCCTAGCCAACAGACACTCGTGCTTGATGAAAAAAAAAATAATTGTAAAAAATGGACAGGCTATCTGGCATCTTCTGACACGTATCCCTCCACATCCAAGGTGTGTCTATGTCCGATATATGTCTGGCATTGGTATAGCATGAAATATGCAGTATTTGTGTTTCATGGTATGTGCCTTTCTAAAATTGAAGACTTGATTGTTTATTGAATTCTTATGCAGGGAAGAGTTGAAAATTTTTTCAGGAGAAGTAGTTCGTTTTGGAAATAATTGTAAAGATTCTCAGTGGCACAACCTGGACCGCTACTTTGACAAGTGAGTGTGCTATTTATGTTATGCTACTGATAGTATCTAGTATTTTATTTTACCATGTCTTTTCATCTCTGACTGTAATTATATATTTGCAGACGTAGAAAAGAAGTTACTTCATCTAGGCAGTTGCAGGAAGCAGCAGAGCAGATGATGCAGCAGTTAATGACCTTGGTACAGTGTACAGCTGTAAGTGCCATCATTTATTTAAAAATTGTTCCACGTGTTTGGAGTATTTGTTAAGTTAAACTCCCTTTATGGGGTCACATGCTTTTCAGTTGGAAAAAGAATAATAAAAAACAAACAGATGATTACTTACAAGTTGAAGAACTTTATCAGTTTTAAATCTCTTATCCAAGAAACCAATTTGCGTTTATAGAGAATTTTTTTATTGCATTACTAGTTTGGATAAATTCTTGAATAGTTGTCATCAGTTGAAATATAATCTTCATTCGCAAGGAACTAAAGTTCTAAATGTTTCAAGTCAATTTATACTTGGTTGTTCCGGAGAAGTTATGTATAAATTAAAATTGAGGGCATCTTTGCACATAAAGAAGCAGAATTATTTGCAATAGATCTGCTTGTTTTAGGAATCTTTCCTTCTCTGAATTTGATTACATCTCAAGTTCCATAAAAGAGTTTATTAGAAATTATCAACCTTTACGTTGTCACGACCCCAGTCCTGTGCTGGAGTCCCTGGATGAGCTACCAAGCTGCACTTGTCAACTCATGCTCAGATGGTTCAAAACCTTCTGCATTCACAACATTGATGCTTCAAAGGATATAAACATAAGGACATAGGATACAGAAAGAAAGAGGACACGTGAGTGATCTAAGTGCATGATCTGGCAATCATGAGTGCTTTGGTATGAGACCATGTAAATCACATTTATTTTTTTTGCTATCAAACTTCTAGTCAAATTTATCAAGTAAAAATCTACTTTGATATCTTGCTATTCAATGAAATTAGTCATAGAAGTATAATTCTTAATAAACTTACCTCTTGACAGCATCTTCTTGTGTCCTGTTCTTCTTAATGAGCTGGAGAGCTGCATTTGCTCCAATTAATTGTGATCTAGATATAAGAATAAGAAAGAGAATGCAACAAGCTACAAAGTTCAGAGAGTGCAAGGCAAGTCTAAGAAGATTATGTAAAAAGCAATAAGCAGACTTGTCAAATCTAAATCAATTTGCTGAATGAATCAACTACCTCTTTGATTCGGTTGGCAATCAGGAGTGATTCAGGTGAAAATTCATGAGTTTCTGATTCACAATTGGAGTTAAACAAAGCATCCTAGTTAATTTTTTCTAACAGTTTTGAAAATATAGAAAGCAATAATAACCTCGGGAAAAGGCTAGTGGCCTACTAATCAGTCTGACCATCTGAAGGGTATTCGTTTAATATTTTTTGGAATGCCAGTGTCAGATACATTGTTAAGTGACAATACTAAATGTTTTCCTAGCCTCTTGATCAGAAAGGATGGTTCATTAGCCATTCAGCTTTGAGCACTGGTTTGGTGCTTCCCTAGCATTTAGTTTGCCTTCAATATTATAGCAATTGACTTTCTTAAACAAGCTCTGTTGGTCCCTTTCCCTCACGATAAATAGAGAGAAGAAGTTCTTTTGTTTTCTGTCTCCTACAGACAACGTTTTGTTAGTTTTTGTTGTTTTTTCTTTTTGAACTTTTAAAATTAACATTTGACTTCATTAGCCGATCTCCTTCCTTTAAATTCTGAATTTTTATAAACATGCTTTGTTGTTAACATGGTTCATATAAGATTCGGATGGCATGTTATTCCTTGGTTGGGTTGCTCAAAATTAAAAAAGAAAAAAAAAAGGAAGAAAGAAAGAAGGGAATGATTTTGAGGCATATGTTAGTTACGTCTGTAAAAGGGTTTTAATCCTTAAGAGCAGATAAGTTATCTATCTGCCTAGGCACTGAATACATGTATTCTGTGTTTCACAAAGCAGTGCCTTTTCAATCAAGAATAAAGAATTTTATTTTTTTTCTGAATATTCTCCTGAAAGAGATCTATTCTCAGCTTTAACAGCAAGTTAACCTTACTGCCAATTTACTGTCTCTTTTCTACCTCCTGAAAAATAATTGATAGGAGGTACAGATAATCATTTAAAGAAGTGATTTCTGTTGCTTGCTTTCATGGGAAAAGCAATGATACAAAAGGAAATCTCACGCAAGCATTAGGTTAAGGAAAGCAAATGGAGAATATGAGATACTTAAAGCTTGATGTGTGGTGTTTCTAAGTATGCTATTAACAGTCACATGAGAGTTGGCTAGGGACTATCATGAAAAAAGATATGATATAGAAGACAGGAAAATTACACAGCAAACTAGTAGATTTCCATATCAACACTTGTTTTAGTAACTTTAAAGTTGCTAAATAATCATGGATTTGTGTTAAGATTGAGTTTCAAGTAATTCAATACAGATAAGCACTCACCTACAGAAAAGTTAGTATAAAAATAATGTAGTCATCATACCCCATCAATAGCCAAGATCGTGTCCTGTAAATCAAAGTTCAAATTGACACCAAAATCTTATTGGACCTAACCAACTATAAAAATGACTGATTGATGATCAAATTAAACCAATTACCAAACTCTAATAGAATTTTTAATTTGGTCTAATACACTTAGCCTCCAAGTAATTAGATTTTAATTCCTTTAACATGCCAAGTTTAATAGCAAGTTCAGTAAAACCTGGCCCATTTAATTAGTTTTATATAATGTAAGTTTAATCTTTTATAAAAAGTTAAAAATTTGTAGTTAATTGCTTCTCAATATGCACTAGTCTGTTTTATAAGTTGACTTCCAATCATGGCAAAGATGTAGAGGGAAAGATGGGTTTGATATTTCTCATGGATTTGAATTTATGAAACCATAAATCAAGAATATTAATGGTCTGCAAAGAAGTCATCCATTCTCCATGGATGCTTTGTGCTGCTCTTTCCTTTTGCATACCTACTTCTCTTCAGCGTATCTTTGTTTGAAAACCTAGTTACTGTGAGAACTTTCAATGTTCTGCTTTATCATCCTCTTGTTTTCTCTTTTTCACAATTAAATTTCTCTTACTATCCTTTGGAATTCTACGTGTGATGGATGGTTCTTGTTGGTATTGGATACACTCTCTCTCTCTCTCTCTTCACTTTCTTATTCTCTAGCATACTTTCAGTACATCAAATTTGTGGGGCAGATGGATTGGTACTGGTAAGTTGTGGATGAGATATTTCTTTCTAGGGTAAAATGAAAGAATTTTTGAGCTTCAGGTGCTTTGGGACAAGCAGTACGTAGGCGGTTTACAGATAGTGAAGATGGATGAAGAAATTTGTCTCTTAGAATGAATTTTTCTAATTCAGTCCAGAAGCAGGTTTTTACTGGTTCACTGGGTCATTTTAGTTCTCCGGCTTTTTCCGGTTCTCACCTATTTGTTGCTTAGTTTAAGCATTGCCATAAACTGGACCAGACAGAGGTCTGTTTCCAGTTCAAGAGGTTGAACTGTTCAGTCCAGTATAGTTCTGAAAAATTGGTTTTTTGTACTCAAATAAATTACTGAACTCCTTTGCATTGCAGGAATTGTACCATGAGATGCATGCATTGGACCGGCTAGAACAAGATTATCAATTTAAATGCCTTGAAAGAAATAATCCATATGCAGCTCAAAGAGGTGACTGTGCTATCCCTATCTACATATCAGTTTAGAATCATGGACTGTAGCTCCTAAAACTTTTCTTGTATCACATAAATTGATGTAAGCATTTTGACCAACCAGCTCGTTGAATTGCCATGCCTTGAGATATTGGGGTTACTTCATAATTAAGACACAAGCTTACCTGCATCTGTAGTCTAAGTGCACCATTCTACCTTGTTGCAGGCAGGCAAATTAATTTAGAAACAATGGCTTCAAATGTGGAAATGGTTGGTTCTTTCCTTGTGAATTGCAAACTATACAACTATTTAGAGTTGCACTTGCATAGGAAAAAAATTACAATGACAATATAGCACATCTTGTTTAGAAGTAAGTGGACATATTACTGGCATCGTTTTAAAACTGGACCAGCCTGGTCTGTTGGACTGTTGACTGGTCATATTACTGGTCTAGTTTTTATTGAAAACCAGCAAAGCTAAAAGAACCATTCTATCTTGTGAAAACGTTCAAACCAACAGTCTAATTGTTCAGACAGGTGAACTGGTCACATTTCAATGCCAACCGGCTGGTCTGAAGACAACTGATTTTTTTAACCAAAAATGTAAAAATGATGTGCAAGGGAGGGATCGAACCTAGGCCAATCTTGTGGATAACTGGTGTTCTGCCACTGGACCACTGGTAGGTTGCTGTAATTGCCTTGTTTAATAAAATAGATAATTGCAGTTCCTGGATCTAGATCAAATCAAGATGAAATGAACTTATTCTATGTTAATTTAAGTTATTGTTAGGAATTTATGAATGTGAAATTTAATTATAAATGTTGATTGAAGTTATTGTACGTAAATTAATAGTTTTTTTAACTCTTTAAATTTTTTTCGGGTATCATGTGTGTGTGATAGCAAAAAAAAAAAAAAATTATATATTTTATATATAATATGTTATATATATTATGTTATATATATTATAATACATTATATATTTTATATACCTAGTTAATATTATATATATAAATGTAATATAATATTATATATTACGTAATTATGATGTCAAGGTCCAATTGCGGTTCAATTGTGGTTCAATTAACGGTTGGACCGGTGAATCGTGAACCGATAACTTTTTCGGTTTGATGAACGGTCTAGTTTTTCGAACCTTGATTAGTAGTAAATGCATGGAGTTTCTGAAATTTTTCCATGCAGTATGGAAATCTATAAAACACTAAAAATTCAGCAAAACAGTTAGTTTCCTAACAGACAGCCCTAACTATAAAAATTTACCGAAAAACTCACAATTAATGACTAATTCCTTTTTAGCATCCCTTTTTTTCTTGTTCACAAGTCATCTCATTGGGTGTGTGATGCAGAAGCTAAAGGGGCCAGATTCCAAGAATTTGGGATTTCTAATATTTTATTATTTTCAAATTTTTATTTGTTGAGATTGATTATTATTATTTTACTTTTTATTATGATGTTTGTTTGTGAATTCTTGCATGAGTTTTCTGTTGAGGGGGTAGCTGTTCGTTGTTTTCCCTCTTCTCTTCTTCTTCTCTACAAGGTGCCCATCAATTTGATATTAGAGCAATCCCTAGTCTTCTATGATCAAGTTGGAAAAGGGCCAATTTCTTCTCGTTCTCTTCTTTTTTCTCTGCTTGCAGTATTCTGTAATCATATCCTCTTGTTCACTGCTTCTGTTCCTCTTCTTCCACAGTGCACCAATCACAAAAATAAAAAAAGAAAGAATTTGTCTAAGACCTTTTCTACTGCCCCCAAGCCACCTTTGAAATCTATAACCACATCCCCTTAACTTCATGTTCATATAGAAAGTGTGGATGAGGAAATAGAAAACCTAATTTATGAATATATGCATTGGTGAATACCATACACAAGATCTGTATTTATGTTAGCAAATACTGTACAAGATATATATATATATATATATATAAGTGACACAACTATACATAGATATCCTTTATTTACAAAATATTTCAGCACTCCCTCTCAAGTTAGAGCATATAGATCATATGCACCAAACTTGTTACTAATATTAATAACTTGAGGACCTCTAAGTGATTCAGTGAAAATATTTACTAACTAATTACTTGAGTTAATGAAGTTATTAACAATCTCCCCTTCAAGTTATGTTTTCTCTAACAAAATCAAAGTCGACCTTAATATGCTTGATTCTCTTATGAAAATCCAGATTAAAAGCTATATGGAGAACTGCTTAATTGCCACAAATTAGCTTCATTTGACTAACTTCTCCAAATTTTAACCCTCGAAGTAGCTGTTTCAACTAGATAAGGTCACATGTTGCTTCAATCATGGCTCTGTATTTCACCTTTGCACTCGATATGGCTACCACATTATGTTTCTTATTTTTCCAAGATATCAAGTTTCCACCTATAAAGACACAGTATCTAGATGTAGAATGTCTATCCGAAAGTGGTCCCACCCAAGTGGCATCCAAGTAGTAAACAAAATGAGTATTTCTTCTATCCTCATATGACAATCCTTTTCTTGGTGCTTTTTTCATATATCTTAGATTCTTAGGATATGAATCACGGCACTCCAGTAATAGTCACATGGCAAACTGAGGAATTGACTAACTATGCTTATAGCAAGTGAAATATCAGACCTTGTTAAAATGGGATATTTTAATTTCCCAATTAATCTGTGCTACCTTCCACGATTTACCAAGAGCTCTCCCTAATGCCGGTAAAAGTTTAGTATTCAGATCCATGGGACTATCCACGGTCTAATAATTTAACATGGTATCAAAGCAGGCAAAGGTCCTGTGTTTGATTCTCACTGCCCATAAATTTGAAGTTTCCATGTGTAGGCCTTGTTGTGATAAAAAAAGTTTGGCTACACATGAAGGGATGTGTTAACTAATGAATTAAGTTACTTTTCTCTCTACAAGCTTAAGCTTTTAGATGAAATGGTGGTTAACAATTTAACAGTATCTAAAGGTATCCATAGTAGACTACATAACTGAGCATCCACCTTTTTCCAATGAGGCTGAGTTTCAATGGGCATGTCTTTAGCTGATTTTGTTAAATTGTCTTCAAGACCTTGATCCATGGATCAAAGTTCAACTGAGGTAGACCAAGAGAGAGAAGTCATACTGGTCAAATTCTCAATGGTGATAGTAGGAGAACTAGAAAATACTAGAGTGATAAGGTCGGAAATGTTGACCCTAGGAACATTTGTGTTGTCTCCCACCAAGGCAATGACTGGGACATTGTATTTGATCAAAAGTGTTCAAAAAAGTTATTGTGAGAGCAATAAAGTGCAAAACCTGAAAAAATGAATAGAAAAAACCTTTTACAATCAAAGAAGTGCAGTGACAGCAATGCAAAGTCAACAAAGTGCAATGACAACAGTGGAGAAGTTGAAGCAATCCAAAGCCTGCTGTGATAGCAGCAGCTTGCTTCACTTCAAGTAATTGAAGAAGTGGAAGACATAGACAGTGACTGCACTTCAAAGAACCAAAGCAGTCTAAGAGATTGAAGATGCAAAAAGTAATAGTGATTTGAGAAGTCACAATCAGACAGCAATATTTCTAATTGAAACTGAAAATCAGAACTGATGAGCAACCCAATCAAATTTGACCAAGGCGAAACCAGTGACAAGATCTTTGACAATAAGGGTGGCGAGTGGGATTTGTGCTCAAGAGGAGAGGTGTGCAGAAGCACATGGAATGTGAGATTCGCATGCTAGAGGAGAGGTGTGTGGATGCTCATGTAAAATTGAGGTGAGAAAGAACTTCAACGAAGTTGTAGATTGACTAGTTTTGATCTTGGATGTGGAGCTTGGAGGCTTAGCAGACGCATGGCCAAGAGGGTTCTTATTGGAATTGATGCATGGTAGAAGTTCTTAATAACTAGGGTTCCTTAAAATTTTACTTGATACCATGTTTAAGAGGAAACTAGAGACCTAATTTGTGAGAATATGCATGGGTGATCTGTATTTATGTTAAGAAACACTGTACAAGAGATATGTGTAATATATAACTGAATGTTGTTACTATATATAGATACCCCATATTTACAAGGTATTCCAACAAAAACCAAGTCACAAACAACGCCAAGTCCTAGTCCCTCCTGGGAACTTGCCAGCAAGGCCAATCCTTGTCAGAACCCTAAACAATCCTGGAGAGCATCACTTAGTCCAGTATTGCCATTGCCAATTCTTAGCCACCTCCATAGTACCATCACTATTGCACCTCCATTTGCTATCACATAACTCTGGTTGCCTTATTGTGGTTGTGCCATTAGCATTGGAGCAATCACTGTTGTTGCCACTACATCACCATGCCCATATGTGTCTTTTTCATCTGCAAACCAGGTTCATTTTAGACACATACTAACCAACTATATATCTTGTCTCATGTCAGTTTGTGATTATGAGATCATCTGGTATACAAGACTTGATGGCCACTACTTTGGATATAAGTATTTTGGACTAGTGGTCAAGCTTAACGAGTTGTTTCATTGACCCAGTTTATTTAAATCCCAAACCAAGTCTAAAACCTGTTTCATTAACTTAATTATTTAAACAATTGTCCACCTTCTTACCTAGTTCATGTTACTTTTATACTATTTGATCTTCTTTTCCTAATGAAAGCCAAGCTGGACAAGATAATTGGGCACCTTGAGTGCATACAGACATCAACGGGTAACATACAACCATCTATGCAAGACATACACTTTTGTCTGAATGGAGACCAGCATGTAGTTGAGCTACTTGGAGCCATCATTAAGCCAGAAATACAAGAAGTTCAAGATCATAATGGTACAAAGCTGAGCATGTTGGGGACATTGAAATAGATTCTACCAAAGATCAACACAAGGAGAGTAGTCAAGAGGCTCTTGTCCAACAATTGGGATAGAACATGATCAAAAAGCATTCATGGATGAATATATCATAAGTTCATCATTCCTCCAAAGTTTGTGGTAAGAAACCCCTAATCACTTATGTTAGAAAGAGGAAACAGTCAATTTGAGCAAATAATTAGCAGTTACAGTAATTTAATAGAAGGTACTAGCATATGAACACATTAGAAAGTTTAATTAGAGGATAGTTTTTCAGGTCTTAATTAATCTTGTATTGGAGAATCGTCTACTCTAAAAGGACTTGGAATTCTAAGAAATCGTTGTGAGATTCTTGCTTTGATTCATCTTAGAATTAATTTGTACTTTCTTAATTTCAATCAATTAGTTCATATCAGTTTGCCTTTGGAAATGACAACATGTAAGTTTTTCTTAATTCTCTGCTACTCTAGAACTCAAGGATGAGTTTTTTTCCAATGGGGGAAATGATGCAGAACCTAAGGGGGCCAGATCTCAAGAATTTGGGGTTTCCAGTATTTTATTATTTTCAGAACTTTATTTACGTTTGGTATTTAATCTTTTAGTATCTAATGGGTTTAGGATTTTCCCTTTGAAAATGAATGTAATTTTTTCTTAATTCTTTGCTACTCCAGAACTCAAGGATGAGTTTTTTTCCAATGGAATGATGCAGAATCTAAGAGGCCCAGATTTCAAGAATTTGGGGCTTCCAATATTCTATTATTTTCAGAATTTTATTTGTTTTTGGTATATAATCTTCTAGTGTTTTAATGGGTTTAGGATTAGGATTTCTTTCTTAAGTTCAGCAGGATTTGTTTTGGATTATTATTTAGAGCTTTGCTAGAGATCGTATTCAAAGGTGCATGTATCTGTACTTGTTCTTCAGATTAAACAGAGTGATATGAGTTTATGAGATTGTGAATTCATGTGCAGGTGATACCTTGAGCGGGTGGCCGTTTCTCCCTTTCCCTATCTTTTCATGTTTGCTTAAGAAGGATGTTTTATCTCTCCCATTCTTGTGTTAATCTGCGGGAATCATGATATTTGTGAATCATTTTATCGAATTCTGCATCTTCAAATGCTAAACCATGGGCCACTGCCTCTATCTCTATTTTGTTAGCATGAGGAGTCAGTCTCTTTGCCTCTATGACTAGGCACTGACTCTGTCTTGTTAATATGAATCATATTTTAATTCCCATTTTAGTAACAACCAACTTAATATGCACTCTGTTCAACTAGATAGCACTTGCTGCAGTTGAAGATATCTTATTCCCTGAAGTTAGATTTTTCCTAACTGTCCTTTTCAAAATCAAGGTTTTCATCTGAAGAAAATTTAATGTTTCATATAACGTACATTGTTTCTCTTGGTAAGACTCATGACTTTTGAAATCAACTTCTTGGTTTCTAGGGATGAAGTCCAATTTCATTCAAGTTGAATAATAATTATGTTGGCCTTTTTTTTTGTGTGGTTAATAGTGAGTTGCCTCCCAAGAAAGGAAGATCATACAGGCTCCTCTTGGCATCTTAATCAGAGGAGGATCATAATAATTTCAATCATAATTTTGTGAATAATACCTTGAATTTTAATAAAAAAACCATACTCAGTTCTTTCTAAACTGTTTGTTCTCCACATTTTAATGAAATCCTGTCTATCTGATTCGTTTCTTATAGTCCTCACCATATGGATAGTGAAGATGTCTTGTGCATTCTACAACTTTTCCTTTATGCCATGTGATGTGATGAACTTGAGCTATTAGTCTACCACTCTATATATGACCTTTTCTAGTTCTACTTAATGCTTTGTTGAGATTTCATGTTGGCATTAATCTAAGAAGTGGTCTCTGATAATTTGTTAAATTCTGTAGAACACATGAGAAAGTCATAAATTACGTTTTTGGTCAGTAGTTCTAGTTATCACTTGAACTTGAATGTTTTCAACAGTATCTTCATCATTAAATTAACTGCATGTTTATCTTTTCTTTATCCTCAGGCAACAACATTTCATCATTGAGGACAGAATTAAAAAGCCAGAGGAAATTAGTAAAAAATTTAAAGAAAAAATCTCTCTGGTCCAGGAGTTTGGAAGAGGTAAGTGTTGGAACTAATTACATCTCTTCCAATTTATTTGTCCGTCTGAAAGGACCAAAGTTCTTAATGGGGATAAATGCCAAATATGTTCATATTTCAATGATAGAATTATAGATTTTTGGAACTAATTACATCTCTTCCATTTGTTTGGCCATCTGAAGGGACCAAATTTCTTAATGGAGATAAATACAAAAATGTTCATATTTCAATGATAGAATTATAGATTTCTGGAACTTCTCCCCTGATTACAGTACACACTTACATTTATATTAAGGATTACATTTGTATTAAGGGTTATTTTGGAAATTCATAAAATGTTGTACATTAGAATTAGCAGAAAAGTGTCTGTCATGCATAAATATAAAGGATCCTGCAGTCTGGGATATGAAAGTGCATGAGATAATCTCAGGTACTTGCATTAACAGTTTGTTGGATGTTCTTTTTATATTTTATTTTTAGTTTCTTGTCCTAATCAGTAGATCTTACTGATTTTGCTTAGCCTTTCCCTTCTTCATTGCCTGATCATGCTATCCTTTCCACATTGAGTCTCACTGGTTTTATTCCATGTTATATGGACTCAGGTCTGGATGTTGGATTTGGACACAGGTGTGGTGTCGGACTCATGAATGTCATAAATTCTAGGACATGGGGACATGGATTTAGAGTCTGCAAAAATAGGACATGATTTACAAGGGGCAGTATTATACTTAAAAGTATTTGGGGTGATTTTCTGGTTATATTGCAAGTGAATGATGTTTCTATATTTTCTTTTACAATAATTATTAAAAATTAAAAAATAAATTAATAAAGCTGCTTATAAGTTGAGTTATTATTTATTTTTTATTTAAAACTTATGATTAAATTGGGCTGGATTATATTTGGACTGTTGTTTGTTTTAAGTTTCATTTATTAATGGGCTGGGCCCTTTTGTTTTAAACCCAACAAAGTTCATGCTGTGTCATGTCGACAAAGGTACTTGACCCTCAAAAGCTGAGGCGAGGTAACATAGGTTTTATTGTATCTGCTGTGATTTTCTGATTTTGCTTAGACAACCAATTGCTATTTTTGGCAAAAATTAAATGACTTTAAAAGAGTAAACCAACTGTATGGAATTTGATTCCAGAGGACTAAATTTGCGCAATACAGGTCATGGAGAAACTTGTTGATGTTGTCCTCTTCTTGAATTGGGAGATATGCAATGCCTTTAGCATGGCAGGTATGCATTTGTATTAAATGCCTCTGCAAGTCCAGTTATAATGCAATTCTAATGTTTTGAAGTATCAACAAGTATTATGTCTATTGTGCAAAAGGTTCTTTGAGCAAGGACATGTTTTATTTCATGTCTTTCCATCAAACTGCACTGTTGAATCACATAAGGCTAAACTTTAAGTTCCCCTAAAATATAACTATTTGTCACACCTTTCATTTCCCAAAAGGCCCACCATGTTGAATCTTTGAGGACTGTATCATAAGCTCTGTCCAAAGCTATAAAGACTATATGAAGATCTATTTTCTTTTCCATGTAATTTTCCATAAGTGTCCTGAACAAATAATTGCTTGAATTATGAACTTTCCAGGAACAAATTCAAACTCATTATCTGATGCCATTCTTTCAAATCTTACCCATGATCACTCATTTCATAACTTAAGAGTATGTGTCATAAGTTAATGCCTTATAATTTGTACAATTTTGGATGTTGTCTTAATTTGTACCTGTAGGTGCAAAAATACTTTTCACCCATTCATTTGCACACACTTAGTTACTATAAGTTTATCAAAAATTTTGTTATAGTTATGTTTACATCTTCTGAGCACTTGTAAACTTCAATTGGGATGTTATCTAACCCTAAACGTCTTCCTGATTTCATTTTTGTCAAAGGTGCTTTGCCTCAATGACTAACTTGAGAAAAATCTTTTTTTTTTTTTTTTCAAATATCTCTATCACCACTTCCTTCTGAAATTAATGTTTTGTTCTTCCAGAATTGACATTGCATAGAGAGTAGAGAGACCAGGATCAACTTGGTTTTAGCTATTGGACTTGTGCAGCTAAGCCCAAGTAATTGCAGAAATGATTAATTTAATATAACCATTTGAATTAATTAGATTGCAATTAACATACACTTTTCTCTTAAACTTAATTATGTAAAACCACATTTCTTGGAGTATCATGCCTATTCATATACATTTTGATTCTCTCTTCAATTTATCTATATTTCATTATACTTAAATATTTGCTTCTGATACTATATTTTGAGGAAATAAATAATTAATCTGAAAGAAAAATTGAGAAATCTTTGGATCAATAGCTTTAGTCTTTTGGAATTGTGGAACTTGCATTGTAAAATGTAATTGGATGATGTCGTAGATAATTTTTTTCCCCATTATTTTGAGGATACTGGCATGGCGTAGTAAAATGCTTTGCCTATTTAGTTATTCGGATGCCTGAAACTATGTGAAGGTGTATGTTTCCTATTAGGACACTAAATTGCCTACAAATATCAGGACTCCACTTAGTAATCTTATTTTAATAGTGATAATGTCTTGTTGATGAATGACCTGCAGACAGTGAGGCACCTTTGGAAGGATCTCAAAGTAATCAGCAAAAGTTGGGACCTGCTGGTCTAGCATTGCATTATGCAAATATTGTCATCCAGATTGACACACTTGTGAGTTTGCACTCTCTCCACTTTGATATATTTGGAATTTTTGTCTCACTACATATTTGGTTTATTGGGTTCCTTGTTGTCCCTACTATTTCTCATAGACTAGACTGGCTTGACATGTCAGATATGCGATATATTTGGAAACTCGTGTAACATATTCTTTCATAGAAGGATCAAAATTTTGTTTCATGTTCTTGCAAGCAGTGGAAATGGAAAAACTTTGGAAATGTTTAGAAATATTTTAAAAAAGTTTGGAGATATTTGGAGAACAAAGAATAATGCATGCACGTTCTATTCTTTCAAAATATATAAAGATTAACAATTGACTAATTGAACAAATTGAGACTTCAAAATTGATTAAAATAAGGGAACAAGTGTAGAATCAAAAGATAAATGCCAATTCAGACAAAAATGATTAATATTGATAAAATTTTGAATTTTTCTACACCAGTCAAATATTGAGTGTGTTTTAATGTCTTTTCCATGTTTCAAAAGTTTTTTGACCAAAATGCCATAGGTTTTTTATTCCATTAATGTTTTGTTACTGTAAACAAGCTTGTAAAGAAGATGAGAGAAAGAGATAGATATTTCATTGTCTTAAACCCCAATCTGGTTAGGTGTTGCGTATATATGTATGTTATTATACTATTTAGAAGAGACTGAACTATCCTTGCTCTTACTCGTGCATTTCCTCCTCAAATTGGTGCTTAGTTATTAATCAAGACCAGCTTGTAACAAATATACTCAATCCTATTTCCATGAAGAGCCTTAGTAAAGAAATCAACCTAGTTTATTCTCCAGTCCAAGCATTCTTACCGGACACAAGTCCTTGTCGAAGCTTCTCACACGACATGGCAATCTGTGTCTATGTGCTTTGTTTTTTATTTGAACATGGGATTAGATGTTAATATGACTAGCAGGTTGATTATCACACCCCACATGCATAGCGTGAGGCAGCCCTGACACTAGCTCATTAACTAAATGATGTATCTGCTTAAATTCACATGGGAGTTGAGCTATAATTTGAGATTTGGATTCTGCACTTGAACTAGTTACAACATTTTATTTGTTGGTTTTCAAAGAAATAACATTTCCTCGCACAAACATAGAGTGCCCTGTAGTTGAATGATGTCAGATGAGAGAACCAACCCAATGTGCAGTAGAGAAGCCTTTTACTCTTGAATAACCATGGTTTCCATATGCTATACAATGTCCAGACCCTTTAAGATATTTCAGAATGTGTAGGACAATATTCCACTAAGTTGCCCTTGGCAAGAAACATAAATTAGCTGCATGCTTACTGAGAAAGCAATATTTGAACATGTTAATGGTGAGGAAATTTAACTTGTTTTCCTGTTCCTGTTGGGAATTCTCTAGTAGGTCATCATCATATACTCCAATTTTAGGTCAGGTGATCATTGGAGAATGACAAGGTTTTACCTTTATAAAACCAGTGAATTGAAAGGGTGTTTCCTTTCAGCGTGAAGTCACTTTTCTTACTATTACCAAACTCAATCCCTAGAAAGTGCCTCAAATCGCCTAAATCTATAGTTTGAAATTTGGCTTAATAAAAGGACTAAAGAGAATTATTACTGGCATCATTGCTTGCAATAATCATAATGTCATCCAGATTGTGTCTACTAATAAAAAACAAGGGTCATGTGCACTAATATTCAGTCCAAACTCTATGACTACCTTGGTAAATATCCCAAATTAGGCACAAGAAGATTGTTTTAATTTATAAGAGACTTCTTCATGTTAAGTACTTCCTCATGTTCCCTTGGAGTAATAAAGCTAGGTGATTACTCCATGTACACTTTCTCCCAGAGATCCTCAGAATTTTAAATTCAATGGTGGAGAACCTAATGCTGAAATTAACAATTGAATTGAGGCTAGTTTAGCAACTGGATAGAATGTCTCCTAATAGTCTGTACCATAAGTACGGGTCCTCTGAACACTAAATGAGCCTTCAAATGAGCCATAGAGATATTAGGATTAACCGTCATGGTGGAGACCTGCTTACAAACAATGGCATGTTTCCCTGTAGGGACCTATGCCTCTAAGCGAGCTTTTAGATGAGCAATAGAACCATCAGGATTAACTTTCTTATTAAAGACCCACTTACAGCCAATGGCATGTTTCCTGTAACTGTTATGCTCAAGAGCCAACATTCCTCTGTCTTGCAGCTTGCCAGCTGGTATGAGATAAGCCTCTGATACTATTTTATTAGGAGAGATGAAATCTAAAAGAAGTTATGAGTGACCTAGAAGAGGGAGATAAACGATCATGGAGAGCAAATGAAGTAATGGCACAAGGCCAGGAGTGTTTACCTTTGTGAAGAGTACAAGGAAGATGCAGTTCTAAAGAATTAATGGTTATAGGTGAACAGGGATCCTAACACTAGGGATGCCACAACTTTCCTATTACCAAAAGGTCTTGACTCCGTGTTGGAGGCCAGGAGTTCAAGCCTCATGGAAGGCATTCTTTTCAAACACCAACCCTTATTTAAAAATACCAAAATCAGGAATATAGGGATTAAGGAAAGATATTTATATTTTGGAGCCTTTATCAAATTTCAAAGATACATCTTGGTTACATTGGGTAAATCCTGGTAATATTTTTAAAAGGTGAATATGATCCTTATGTATAATTGTTTATTTATTTATTTTGCTTATCTTATTCTAAATTTTCCCTCGAAAGAAATAGAAGATGACTAATGACTGTTTAAAATTCTTTGTTAATCCAATGGATTGTAATTTTGTTGATGATTTTTGCTACAAGAACTTTAAATTGTCAATAATTGCTTTTAAATACAAGAAAAATTGCAATTTCTTACGGGCCATTCTTAGTTTATCTGAATTTTACTGGTTCTTTGTGTTTGGACTTTTATCAATTCATATTCTCTACATTGTGAGGTGCCTTTTCCTCTGTTGTTATTATGTACCTTATGTTCTATCATGAGTATATTGTTTTGATTGGGTGGTCTTCTGGTAAAATAGGTGGCACGATGCAACTCTATGCCAACTGGTTTAAGAGATACGTTATACCAAAGCCTTCCACCAAGTATCAAATCATCTTTGCGTTCGAGGCTTCGATCATTTCATGCGAAAGAAGGGGTAATCTTGTGATGCTGCTGTTATTTTTAAAATCCATAGCTCTTTTTCCTGTTTCTTTTTGCTTCTTTTTCCCCTTGGGCAATTCATTTATATCTTGATACAGCTATATTAAAAATTAATTGGAAATTATTGTTCCCTTTTTTTTGTACAGTAGCTAATTTTTCAAGTTTTGAAGCTAATAAGATCCAAATAATGCTTTGAATGATGTTATTCAGCTATCTTAATCTTTATGCCATTTTGTTTTCCACTATAACCGAAGCTATTTATATGCAGCTTACTGTTACAGAAATTAAAGATGAGATGGAGAAAACATTGCATTGGCTTGTTCCAATTGCCATAAATACAGCAAAGTATGATAAATTAATTTCCTTATAAGCAGCTAAATATGTTTCTGCTATAGATATTTTCGTATGTGCAGTTGCCTTTATATTCTTACTAACTTTTTGTTGCTGCTATTGGTTGCAAACTTGTTAATTTAGAGCTCATCATGGCTTTGGATGGGTTGGAGAGTGGGCGAATACGGGGTAAGTCTGAAATTTAGCTGATTCATATTTTAGGATTCGTCTCAGGTCTGTTGTTTACCACTTTAAATGTACAATTTGTTAAATATTATGGACTGTATAAATGATTACTTTGCATGGGTGCAGATCTGAAGTAAATCGCAGGTCAACTGCTCCTATGGAGATTCTTCAAATTGAAACTTTCCACCATGCAGACAAAGACAGGACCGAGGCACATATTCTTGAGTTAGTTTTGTGGCTTAACCATTTGCTACGTCGGGTAAAGGTTGATAAACAAAATGGCGAGGCAAAGTCAGCCACCAAATCGCCAATTCAAAAAACCCTCCAAGAAAAAAGTCCGAGTCCTATGCAATTGGCCATCAGTGATCCATCACTTGAGCTAAGCCTTGTAGACCAAAATATGCTACAAAACGTAATTAGCATGAAAAGGAGCCGTGGAATAAGTAAGAGTCAGGATTTTGATTCTATGCAAGACAGGTCAAGCAAACATGACAGACTGAGCAGAAGTACTGGGAACTCTCCAACTAGCGGAACCAAGGAGCCCTTCCCAGTTTCCAGTAATGCCATGATTCAATTTGGTTTTGATAGGGAAAAAACACTGGATGCTATTGATGGAGTGGATACACGTAGAAGATAATTATGCAGTTTGTAATTATATGTTGAATTAAATTGTTGGTCGGGGCAGGGGCAAATGAAGCAATGGTTTGTAGTACTATAATATCCTTGTATTACACAACAATCGATGAGGCATTTGAGATGCCATATGCATATATAAAGCATAGGAAAGGAAGGCCCTTTCTTCTATTCTTTTTTTTTTTTTTTTCTTTTTGATATTCCTCATGCTTGCTGTGTTAGTCATGTTAGAGAGCCGTTTTGTGGGGCTTATCCGAGCACTGTTGTTGATTCAGAATATTACAAAACCATGTAGAAAAGTTTTTGTTCACGCTAGACATTGTGTTGAAAATTCTGACTGCTTACTGGTTTTGTAAGGAGAGATTAGTTTAAATAGATCTCACAACTGATTGTATATGTACAAAACTTTGTTGCTTTAGATAATAATAACATGTCACAGTTTTGTATCAGTCTCGCATTTTTCAGTTCATGCGTGCCTTTTGGTAATTTGCTTCTTGGTTATTTTGGTTGAGAATTGCCCTCAAAATCAAGAGACCATAGAACAAGTAATTAGCAGCATAAGCCTTGATTTGATATGGGGTATTGGATATTTGATATTTATCATAGAAATATTTGATATTACATGAATAATGGAATGAATATAAATAATATTAAGTTGAGATGGCTTCAATCGGTTATAACTGAATTATATTTGTCGGGGTTGTTTTGAAAAGAGGACATTAAGTTGTCAAGGATGGCAATTAAGGCAATTAAATATATTGGAGTGATTTTGGTCACCCTTATAATTACACTGATAGGATACATTTGCTTTGCACGTGGATGATGTACGGCCGTATGAGAAAAACAAAAATTTCTTGAAGTCAATAATTATAAATATTCAGAGAAATATATATAATCTCATTTGTTTTAATATACATATTTTTTTATGTTCACAAATAAATGTTACCCTTCTAATAGAAAACTTAACACACAAAAAATATTTCTATGTCTAAGAACTAATGAGAATAATCATAAGTGCCGTAAGCAAATCAAATGGTATTCTCTCGATGAGATCAGTTAACAAACTCAAATCTCTATTAAGCACCTAATTGCGCGTATTGATATTTACAATACCCATTGCCTTATAAATGGGATACCCTTCTTTCTAGATGAATGCATCATTCATACGAGTTTATATTAATTTGAGTCAATATCATAACTTGCTTGACCTATGATCCTAAACAATTTGGAGAATACAGTAATAAGGATATATTTTCATGATCTTTCGTTTTATACACAAGCTAGTCCTATAACCATTTGTGATCTAAAAATTTTAATCTAAATATTGAACATACATTTACAAGTTAGATGAAGATGGACTCATTAGATGAGGATGTTCAACATGTAGAAGTACATTGATTTTATTGCATGAAAAAAGGTTAAAAGAATAGTTTATAAGATTGGGAAATCGAGCAATGTTCTAACAACCAAATCTGCCGGAAACTGAGGAAAGGGGAGTCAGCTCCGCTGTGGAGGCAGGAAGAGCTAACTTTGCCGAGAAAATAGGGGAAGGCTGTTCTCCGTGTGGGACGACAACGGGGGTGTTGATGGGCAAGATAGGAGTGGGCGATGTTGTTGAAGGAGCAAGGAGGTCGGGAGGCACTGTTTTGGGGACTGGACCCACTGTCGTTGGTGAAGCAGGGCAAGCTGCCCTTCTATTGAGGAACCAGGGGCACCTGTTGGGAGACCAAGGGGCCCTACTGCATGCGATGCATTCCTGCGGTGCGTGGTGGCGAAGCTGAAGGGGGATGGCAGCTGTGAGGAAGGATCCAGGGGTGGAGGCCACGTGGGGGAGGAGACTCAAGCCGGCCAGCCACCCCAAGTGCCGGGATGGCTTCCGCCCAAGAGTAGGGCAGATGAAGGGCAGTGTGGGTGTAGGTATCAAACCTTGAGTTCCCTGTGAGGTAAAGAAACGAGCTCCCCCCGATACGATGGTAGGTGGCCAGAATAGAGGCAAGTCACTGACCGGCGGAAGGGAGAAAGGACTCCCGCGAGTCGAAGCTTTGTTGTAGAGGGGAGCAAGAAGTGGGTTGCCAAGCAGAGGCAGTCCCGCAGTTCACATTGGACAATCCAAACTGTGAGAAGGATCAGCAAACACCAAAGGGTGCTGGGAATTTAGCTGGCCAGTGGTACTGAGTAGTTTGTGACAGTGGGAGTAGAATCTCACGTTAGAAATTTAAAAAAGTCAAATAATTTTATTAGTATGGTCTATTTCTTTTTAATTATATTAAATTATTAAATAAATTATTATATATGACCTATATAACTCATATATGTATATTTATATATATATTAAAGGACTTGGACTTGAATTTAAAACTTGACTTGGCCTGGCTTAAATTAAAAAGATTTGGATTTGGACTTGAGACTTGACTTGGTTTAAATTAAAAGGGTTAATGCCATTTTATTTATTTTATTTTTTAAATTAATATAAAATAATTTAACCATTTGTTTTTCACCTAACTTTTAGAAATAACTTTTCAGATTTATAATTATACCAATTTGTACAAGACTTGTTGTATCCAAAAAATTTTATTTTTCTTCTTTCTCCCCATTATCAAACAAATAATCTTTTAAAAGAAAGTGTTCTCCGGCCGTTCTGTTTTTACATTTCTAACAGGTAAGAGGGACCATGGCAAGACGTAGAAAGCAGCAGAAGTGCCACAAACCGAGGTGCAACGAGTAGAGGCGAGAGAGATTACTGCAGCACAGGGACTTCTTGACAGAAGGTGCAGCCAACACGAGCAGTTGTCAACAAGGGTGTTAACGGAATCGGCAGGAGAGGATGTCACAATCCACCGCCAAGAGGCCTGCTTGGACCATTCGTGAAGCGCCAACACAAAGCCGGAACAGCAGAATGCCCTTGTAACCGAAGGAACCTAGTGGCTTGGGCTTCAATAGGGGAGGGGTTGCGGCTTCACCCTGTTTGCATGGCTGAGCTAGAAGGAGATGTGAGAGCTGATAAAGAGAAGCAGTCGACGAGAGCCATGGGGCAGAAGTGGAGCTTGCTAATATGGGGATGGCATCATTCTCCTTGGTGCTGAATTAGTGGACTTGTAAACTAATTCAATTAGTTTGCCAACTAAGTTGCTAGAAGCTTGATTAAGGATGCCGACCAGTTGGAGCTTTATCCTTGGTAATTGCGGAAGCTTAATTTGGAAATGCAGACAGTTGGGAGTGTGCTGGAAAGAGGCAACCGAAATGCTTTGGGCAGCAGAAGTGACGCCGGAAAAGTCCCTTCTCCGCAGGTTCCTTGACCACTGGAAACTCCCTATAATTGGCGACTTTCTACATTTGTATCTGCTGTGTGTGTGTGTGTGTGCATGCAGTTTGTCTAGATGGCTGTGCTTGCTGCAATTGTGTATCAAGAGCTTGGCCTGTTCACTGACGGATGCAGTGTTTATGCAAAGGGAGGGCCACAATGAATATAAAAGTCAAGTACATTAATAAAATATATAAATAATTAAACAGTTTTGTTAATGGTATCATAAAATTTATATAAAAATAAATTAATTATACATTTATTTGAGTATTCCATTCTTTTATATATTAATTATTTATTATATAATACTTTAAACTTTGACATTTCTCTAAATTATTATCTTATTTTATCATTATTTTTAATAATTTTAATTATAGAATATAATATACTAACTCAATCTTATTTATATTTAATAGAAAGAATTAATTATTGTTAGGTATGTCATAATTTTCATAATTCTTTAAAACTAATAATTTTCACTGTAGTAATCCTAATTATAAATATAGACGTGGGATTAGACTAGAAAAGGTCGAGTCTCACCAATTTATCAGTTCATTAACTAATTTGAAATATATTATTAATATTTTATTTTATTACACATAGAAATCCACTCTCTAGAGATTTTTCTTTCTCTCTTCTTTTTGTCGTGTATATCAAATATAAATAATCAGTTTATTATTTTCTTTATATTTCCAAAATGATTGAAAAAAAAAAAAGAAGTTAATGTAAAACTTATATCTGTAAGCTGTCACAAAGATACTCGAATATAATAAATAAATAAGAATAAAATAATTAATAAATAACAAATGTAAGAGTGTATACCTACTATTATTATTAATAAATAAGAATAGAATAATTAATACAATAAATCTGTAAGAACTAAAATATTTTTTTTTGGGAGGGCAAAAACACCCTTCAGTGCCGCTAGCTCTTCTTCTTATATACGGGATTTCCACAAGCAAGCGAGGCACACGCTGGACTCCACCTCTTCTTCAAGGTTCTGGCTGTCCACCGCTGTGCTCCGTTCTGTGTCTGCTGTAAGCCAAGAGCGAGGGAGAGAGTGTGTGAAAGTGTCTCGGTTGGATTAAGGTTGAGTCGAAGGTGTGAGGAACCACCAGCTGCCGCTCGGTTTGGACGTTCGGAGGGCCGTAGGTGCCATCGAACCTTGTGGCCGTGACACCAGGATTTAATTTTACTCTGTGAAGCAAACCTCAATCATTCGTACGAGTGTTTAAAGAAAGTTATTGTATTAAAATGTTTAATCCAGTTTCTATACATTTGATTTTCGTACTTTCAAGTAAGAATTCCTTTTGTTCCATTTAATTAAATTTGGTTTAATTATTGTTTAGTTTTATTCTAACCAATCAAGACTAATAGACACAAATATTTAACTCATGCCAATCCTTCACTGGAACAATATCGAAGTAAATTTATCGTTACCCATGCACTTGCTAATAATTAAATTTTCTGAGTACAATTTTGTGCCCACGAGGCATTAGCCTAGGATGTATTTGCCACATCAACCAATTTCAAATAGTATTATAATAGATTTTGTCACTTTGGATTAATTTAAATATAAATTAAAGTTAAAAAACCAATTTGAACGTGAGAGAGTAGAAGGATCAAAATGAATATTCAGGTAAAGTTTAGGGACCATTACTTTAAAGAATGAGTTTGATGTTAGGGACAGTATTATTAAATAA